TCAGATCACAGGTGTCAGCCATACTTCTGGGCAGTTCTTTAGGGGTTGGATTGTTAGTGTTGTTCTCAGTTCTGGGCAGTCCTTTTACAAGGGTGGGCTAGAATCTGGTCCTGTTCATGGGTGGTCCCTTCACAGGTCAAGTCACAGATACTGGTCACACTTCTAGGTTCTTCAGGAGTCCAAGGGAATTATAGTTAGACCCACTACTATGCTGTTCCTCTCAATGTTTAGTGCACTGTTTAGAAGCTTTGTCCTTGTAAGATTCTGTCTCTGACCAGGTTTCTACCTCACTGAATCCTACACATGGTTCTGATGTGAAGTTTCTTCTGTGCAGTCCAGAGGTATTCTGCTGGTCAGGTTTCACCATTTGTCGCTTACTGAGTTTCCTAAATATCCACGTTATGGAGGGCCACCAAGCTGCTAAATTAGAATGTGTCTTTAAAAAAACATGCTATTTTTTTAAAAAAAATATTATTTTTATGTGTATGAGTATATTGCCTACATATATGTGAATGCACCCATATCATGCAATACCACAGAGGTCAGAAGAGAGCTTCGGATTCCCCCGGAACTGGAGTTAAGGACAGTTCGTAGCTGCCATATAGGTGCTGGGAATTGAACCTGGGTCCTCTGTAAGAGCAGTCAGTGCTCTCAATTGCTGAGCCATCTCTCCAGCCCCCAAACATGCTAATTTTTAACTAAGAAACGGACTTCCTTCAATTACAAAATATAGGTTATAACTTAATATAATAGTAGCAGTAGCTATATCTTTATTCCAATATAAATAAAATAGACTCATATTGTATCATTTTACAGTTTATGTTTTTGAACTTGTTATTCATCACTATTATGAAAATATTAGAGAGCCATTGAAAATATTCTTTCTGTGTTATAAAAGCATATTTAATGTATTTAAAAATATTTTGATAACTATTTCACTATAGTAGGTTTCATTAATAATCCTGTATTTTGGTCTCTGTGTAAAATATTTTTCTGAGCAGAGTCTCTTAATGTTCTCTTCTACGTTTCCAAAGTATAATGCAAAAGAGTTTGGGTACAGGTGCACACACATAACACATATTAAGAACTGTGTTATAAAATTTTAAAATTAATGATAATTCCAGAAATGGGTTGCTTAAAGTGACAGTGATCCAGAAGATTAAAGTCTTTATGTAATGATTTGAAGTCACATAAGGGAGCTGATTATGGCATGAGGTTTGAAGCTGGTGTTTTGTTTTGTTTTATGGAGAGAAAAAGATTTTTTTTTTTAAATAGCAGTCAATCACAAGAAACCTGCATACAGAGCCAACAGAATGCATGTAAAAGAAAATGGGTCCACATTTCCAGAGAATAACAAAGAAGTCATTTAGGGTGTTTTGGGTTCTTGTTAGAATATTCACAGATGAGACTGAATTTATAGCAAAGTGTGATTGGCTTGAGTTTGACAGGCAATTGCATGTTTAAGATGATGAGAGAAAGGTAGGAGATGGAGCCAGTGTGCACGAGGTACACAACTCTATGGGAAATGGAATTCAGGGGATAGAGCTTGGCTTCTTTAGAAACTGGGAGGAGGGGGTATGAGATTAGTTAGTCATCATGATCCTGACACAAATAGTGTAAGTAGGAGTAGGGATGCTGAAGGAAGTGGGAGGAGTTCTCTTGTCAGTCACATACAAGTTTCTGGGACTTCCACTTACCCAGGTCCTCCTCTTTCCTATTTTAGAATCATTTTTCCCTTCTCTCCCTGCAGCCAGTCACTGCAGCTCCTTGCTGTTTCTCAGATACTGCAAGGATGTTCCTACCTCATTTCTTTTGCTTTTGGTTTCTTTGGTTTTTTCTCAGGACATTTTTTTTAACCCCCTCATTTACTTTATGCACATTTCTGTTCAAATATCACTATAGTTTATGTGTGCATGCATGTGTGTGTTCATATGTATGCAGGGATGTGTATATGTATGTATATAGGTCAACTTTAGGTATCGTTCCTCAGGTGCCATTCACCTTGTCTTTTGAGGTGGGGTCTGTTATTGGCCTGGAGTTTGCAAAGTAGACTAGTTGGTCACTGATCCCTAGTGATCTACCTCTGTCCACTTCCCCAGGGCTGAAATTGCAAATATGCCATACCACACCCAACTTTTTTACATGGTTTTTGGAAATTGAACTCAGGGCCTCATGCTTGTTCAGCAAGCATTTTACTAACTAAGCTATCTCTCCAGCCCAAACATCACTATATTAGAGAGGATATTCCCAACTATCCTAATTAGTTTTTCTAATCTCTTTATTTAATTACTTTATTTTTGAGTGTTTTGCCTGCATGCAAGTGCACCTATCTGTGAAATGCCTGCAGAACTGGAGTTCAGACCATTGTTAGCTGCCATTTAGGTGTTGGAAACCAAATCCAGGTCCTGTGTAAGAGCAGTCAGTGCTCTTAACTGCTGAGCCATCTCTCCAGCCCCTAATCTCTTACTTCTAATTATTCTGTCCTTTTATACTGACTCCCCACCATCTTAGCATTTATCATGACCCACTATATCTTTTATGTAATTAATTACATAAAAGTCTATGTCCCTCCCACTAGAACGTAAGCATTTTGATAGAATCCAAAGTATGTTTGGTTCACTGTTTTATCTCAACCACCTAGTATAGTTTTCATACTGTCATAGGCACACAAAGCATATTTGATTAATGAATAAATATAATCAGAAGCAGCCCTTAGAGGATAATTACAGTGTAGTGGTTAAGTATCCAAAGTCAGTGAAATGAGCTTACCATTTTAACTTTCTCCATTTCAGTTTCTTATTTGCAAAGTGTAGCTTGTTGTAGTACTTATCTCACAGAACTATTAAGACTAAATGAATATATACATATACATATATATGTATATATATATAGTGAAAACAATGAGACAGAGGCCAGAAGATTCATAGCTCTAGATGTGAGACACTTTAGCTGGTTTTCTTGATGGGGGTGGGGCTTTACTTACCAGGCTTCTGCCTCCATTTTCCCTCAATAATAGGAGCTTCTTGTCAGTCTTTCAATAAAGTACTGTTCACAGACTACTGTGACTTCAGTGTGTTGGCAGTTCTGGGCCATGCCCTAAGATTCCATTTCTTATACTTTCTTCTAATTAAAACTCTTAATCAAACTTGTCCATGTTTTGTGGAAACTGTGGTCAGTTTTCTAGTATGTTGTTAAACTGCCTAGTAATTTGTACACAGGTATTGGAGTTTATTAATGGCATATTAAGTTATTCCTATCAGAGTTTATGTTTAACAGAGAGACTGTTACCATAAAGGAATATAAACAATGGTAAAGATAATATGAAGTTTCTAAGAGCTCCTTTTTGTTTTTTATTTTTTCAACTCATTTCACGTAGATTGTAGGTGACTGCCACCCTTCTCTGTAAGTTAGAGCATGTCTGGTTATGTCCTATCTATCTTTCTAAGCATGTAGTAGCTAGAATGAACTTCTCTAAATAGAATCACAGAAGTTTAGAATTCAAAGAGACTTCAGAGATTATCTGGACCAGAGGGTTTCAACCCCTGCTCCCCTTTTAAAGCAGGAAACCCTTTTCTCATATGAAATGTTATCTGGAAACTTAATACACTAATTAATAAAAGCACAGCTGATTCTGAGCCCAGGAATCCAAGTCTTGTAGTCTCCCTTTGTTGTTTGAGGCAATGCCTTGAGGGCACTTTCATGCAACCCTTAGGGCTCCCCAGAGTGCTGTTTTAAAACCAGTAATGTAGACCAACTCTTTCATTTTCTCAGTGCAGGAAATAAGTTCAGAGAGTTTTTATTTTATCTCCTGTTAAAAGGTAGTTGGATTAAGAGTCATCCTTGTGTATGCCATAATTAGGAAAAAGTATTAGGCAAGAGTGGAAGTTCTTATTTATTTTTGAAAGTTCTTATTTTTGAAACCCATAACGTTTCCCATCTTATTTCCTTTCATCAACAAATTTATTTGAACCTACTACCTATCAAAAACTCTCTGGGGCTGTAACTGATAAAAAGAAATGTAAGTCATAACCCTTTTCTTGAAGAAAGCAAATAGTTAGTTGGAGAGATAAAACATGCAGTGGAAAATTTACACTGAACTTAAGCTTCATGATGTGAGATGCCAGAAAGCTGTGTGGCATCAAATAAAAATAAATGACATTGATAATAAACTCTAATTTAGCTCAGAGGAGAGTGATGTTTATTCCATTTGGGCTAGAGAAGCTGAATACAAGTGGACTAAATCGGATTTAGGTGATAGAATACTGTGAAAAATAGCAAAGTTTTGGTTGAATTATAGCACATACTATTGGGCTGTACCTCTTTTTCCTTACCTCAGAGCCTATTAATTCCTATACAGAATGGGAATGCATCTTAATTAGAGAACAGTTTAATTGGTGTAATGGAAACCTCAAATGTCCATGATTATCAACAAAGAAGTTTATTTCTCCTTTATATTAGTATCAGGTAGTCTTATAAAAGGTCATTCAGGGACCCAGGAGCTGTCCTTTTTGGCTTCTACTTCCCTAGATTTGGGAGTGCTTTCCATTCAATTGACAACAGGGAGTGAGGGAGTAGAGAATTCCAATGGAATGGTGTTTAGTGACTGGTCTTGAAGGTGATTTACCCCTCCCCTTTTGTGTTATGCAAAACTTAATAACAAAGCTATGCTTAAACACAGAAAATAAATTATGCACAATTTGGAAAGGAATTAAGTTTCAGAGTTCTCCTAGATGTCTGCTATCTCACAGACAGATTTGTTAAGGAAATTGAATAAAATGTATATATGATATATGCAGGCATTTAATTGTTCTTAAAGAATGGGAGAAATTCATGCAGTGTTTTACTGAGTGTAGCTAATAGACTGATTTTTTTATTAACATATTTTGTCCTCTGTTTTGGAAAGGTATCCATTTATTTTTGACTATTGGTACTATTGGTACTATCACCACAATTTAAAATGACCCTTCTAAGTAAATCCTTTCCCCCCCCCTTTCTTTTAGCATGGTATTATTGCTACAGAAGATGAAGAATATTTTATTGAGCCTTTAAAGAATACCACAGAGGATTCTAAGCATTTTAGTTATGAAAATGGCCATCCTCATGTTATTTACAAAAAATCTACCCTCCAACAGCGTCATCTCTATGATCACTCTCATTGTGGGGTTTCAGGTGAGTATACAGCTTTGGAGAAGCATTTTGTATTGCTGATTTCTCTTTTTCCTGGCAAGTATAATATTATTAATAGTAAAATTACCTATAGGAATTTGAGTGGTTATAATTATGATGTCCAGAGCCATTTTAAAAATTATTAAAAATTAATAGTTTTAAGTCAGTTTGGTAGCTCTTTAAGAAGGCCTTAAAATATTAGTCTATGTAATATTTGACATTTTTTTCCTCTGAAGAAAAATAAAGAATGCCTTACTTTATTTACAACTTGCATGCACATATATACCATAGTACTCTGTACTATTTGGCTAGCCTGATAGTTTCATACTTGTATCAGGAATACATACCCTTGATAAAACTTGAAGAGCCTACAGATAGTATTTAAAGGTAGCATAATGCTGAATTAGGGGACTATGAAAATATATAATAATGACAACAAACCTAGGCTTCAGTGATCAAGGAAAGTTTCTTGGAAGATGTGACTTCTTAGTTGAGGCCTGAGGGAAAAGAGAAACTATCTGCAAAAGTGGCAGCTAATAAACTGTTCCACATGGAGGAAACAGTAATTTTTTATTTTTATTTTTATTTTATTTTTGGTCTTTTTGAAACAGGGTCTCCCTGTAGCCCCAGCTGGCCTGGAACTCACAGATTGGCCTGCCTCTGCCTCCCAAGTGCTGGGACTACAGGTGTGTGTCACCATGTGCAGCTAGGAAACAGTATTGATAAAGGTCCTGAACCAAGAGACTGTCATAGTCTACAAATTAAAGGGTAATATTTTTGTATATGGGAATGTGGGTTAGAGATACAGAGATGAAGTTTGTGGTGGTCGATGGGAGTTGTGAGAAATGAATGAGATTTCCTTTTTTCACCATCTCTCTACTGAGACCATTTCCTAAACTTCCCTAACACCAGTCCAGTTAGTTCAGTCTCTGGTAAGCTATCTCTTTACCTAAACTGTTGTACTGATGTTTTAACAAGGTTTCCTGTCTCCAGATTTAATCTTTCTGTTTTAAGTCAAATTTGTCTCCTAAATAGTGCTGTATCACATTTTCAAACACTTTACTGGCTTCCAATGGATGGGATTATTACAGTAGCGCCCTGTGTTCCTAAAAATGTCACTAGATGTTACTGAGTAAACACACTTTTAAGTTTGGGACATTTTTGGCCAAGAACTTAACGGTGGTACTGTTTCAACAGTGTCTGTCAAGTGAGAGATGTAAGTTTATAGATATACATTGCCAGTTAGCCTGATGTGAGAAGCTCACATTTATGTCAAAATACAGGATATAAAAACCCTTTGTGGGCTGGAGAGATGGCTCAGCAGTTAAGAACACTGGCTGTTCTTGCAGAAGACCCGTGTTTGAATCCCAGCACCCACAGGGCAGCTAACAACTGTCTGTAACTCTAATTCCAGGGGATCTGACAGCTCTTCTGCCCTCCATGGGCATTGCATGACATGGGTGCACTTACCTACATGTAGGCAATACACGCATACACATAAAATAAAAACAATAAATAAAATATTTCTAAAAAAAAACCCTTTGAAACTAAATACATTTATTCCATACTCAGTTCTAAATTTTCCATTGTACTTACATTCAAAATATGAATCAAAAATATTTTATTTATCATTTTTATTTTATGTGTATGAGTACATTGCCTGCATATATGTAAGTGTGCCCATGTCATGCAATGCCTGTAGAGGTCAGAAGAGGGTGTTGGATTCCCCTGAAACGAGTACAGATGGTTGTCAGCTACCATGTGGGTACCGTAAATTGAATTCAGGTCCTCTGCATGAGAAGCCAGTGATCTGAACTGTTGAGCCATCTCTCCAACCCCCAAAATATGAATTTAAAACACTTTTATGGAAGTAATTTCTATCTAATTTAAAAATTATAGAGAATCCATGAAAAAAGGAAAAATTATGAAAAATATAAATCACTTCTATTCTTATACCTAGAGATGTGCTTTCAGCCCATTGATATAGATAATATTTGTCTCTACACCCCCATTATCTACTCATTTCTTTATTCAATAAATATTCATTTAGCACTATATGCAAAGCTTTTTTAGGTGCTAGGAATGCAGCAGTTATAAACACTAAAGGCCCTTGCTCTCATGGAGCTTGTGTTCTAGGCAGAAATGGGGCAATGAGCTATACAGGAAAGTAGAAAGACAAAGGCATAATTAACAACTAAGTAGAATAACAAACTAAGTAGAATGAACAAAAATATGGCAAGTCAATGAAATAATTGTGAAAGAATATACATATTCAGATATTTGGGTAGTGATCAAAAGGTGGAAATCTTGTTTAGATAGCAGTAAGAGTGACTTTAGAGAGAAACATCACTGTGTTATATGTGTTTATGGTGCTAAGATTTCTTTATGTTCTACAGTATGTCAAAAATTAAATTGGGCAAAGAACAACAAGCATCATTTGAAGAATTACTGATCTTTACTTTGAAACAAAAGGAGCCAATCTTGTATTCCATCTTAGACTAGAAATAGAATTAGTTGCAGTTCATTGTGCTTAGCGTTAGGCAGTGATTTTAAAAATGTATAGAACGTAGACAAAGCTCTCTAATGAGTTAATTATGCTGGATTAATTTTTTTTTTTTTGGTCTTTTTGAGACAGTGTCTCACTGTAGCTCCAGCTGTCCTGGAACTCACTGTGTAGACCAGGCTGGCCTTGAACTCACAGGGATCCGCCTGCCTCTGCCTCCCAAGTGCTGGGATTAAAGGCATGCGCTACCACGCCCAGCTTGGATTAATTTAAGTAAATGAGATAGAGGGTATCTCTATTCTTTACATATACATAACATTAAATATATAACTATACATGGCATATAATGCTTTTGTTGGGCATTTATAAATAAAAAGATGTAGACCTTGAAAGTTTTGTTCGGAGGTTCTAGTAGGGGCATGTAGCTACTTGTATACCCTTGACCAAAGACTGGTCCTCCTCTATTGGGAAAGTGTTCCTCTTCCATCAACTGCACAGCTTCGGGCATGAGGCACATTGATCAGTAAGGGAGGAAGGAGACACCTGCCTAGCCAGCCAGATCAGTGGAATCAACTCTGGCAATCAATGTGGTGACAAATAGCATAGCCAGATCACCCTCACATCCAGAAGATGTAGACCTTATTCATATTCAAAGAATTTATATTTCCATAGCCTGACTTCCAAGCAAACCATCAATTAAAAAAGCTAAAAGTTTGACAATTCTGACACTTAGAATGGTGTTGACAGTAGTGGTGAGGAGCAGCATTATTGTTTAGTGCCCAGTCATGTCTAATTCATCTTCCAGTGCTTTAATTTAAAGAGAAATCGAATGGATTCGAGAAGTGGGAATGACCAAAGGAATGGAAATGAAATCCTATATTTAGACATTTAAGCTGTCTAGCAAAGGAAGAAAAGATTAGGCATAATGATTTTATGATTAGAGAGTGAGAGAAACTGGAGTTATATAAGTGCAAAAAAGAGATATCTGGCTATTTTCACAACAATATGCACTACAAATATACTGGCTTATAAATACACACATTTATTACTCTACAGCTTTTGTGGGTTGGGAGCATTAATGGATGGATCATCTGTTTTACCTCAGCTAGTTTGTATTCTTACCTGAATCTTGATTGGAGAACAATCCATACCCCCATTCCTTTGGTTCTTCATAGCATTCAGTTCTTTGTGATTGTGGGTGACTTTAGTTTGGCACTGGTTGTCTGCCATAGGCAACCTGCAGCTCCTTTCCTTAGATTTCCATAGTTGATGTTTTCTTCATGTCAACAAGGAAAAGTCTAGAGCAGAAAAGTGCTACAGTGATATGGAACACAATCTTGTATTGGTATATATGTAATAATTTGGATTCCAAAGTCTTTGCTGCATTTTCAAAAAATATTTTATTTATTATTTTATGTGTATGAGTGTATTGCCTGCATGTAGGTAAGTCCAACTGTGTCATGCAATGCCCATGGAGGACAGATGAGGCTGTCGGATCCCATGGAACTAGAGTTATGGACAGTTGTTAGCTGCCATGTGGGTGCTGGTTATCCAACACGGGTCCTCTGCAAGAACAGTCAGTGTTCTTAACCACCGAGCCATCTCTTCAGCCCATCTTTGCTGCATTTTATGTATTGGAAGCAAGTTGCAGGTCTTATCCATACTCAAAAAAGAATGTGAGCAGAGCACAGAGGTCATGGTGGCACCTTTTGGGTTTGATTGCCACAACCAAACATAGGGAAACATTGCTGACAGTCTTGGAGTTATATGCCATGCTTTTGTCTCTCTTGACCTTCAGGAATAAAGAAAATTATTTCACTTATATGAGCTTTCAAAGTATTTAAGTATTTCTTCTCATGATTGTTTCCATTTCTTACTTTGTAAAAATTTATCTATTCATCCCATGCAGGTTTTAAAAGGTAAAAGCTAATAGAAGCAGAAAAATTAAAACAGTGCCTATTCTATCAATTATATGATATATTAATTTAATTTTTCCTCATTTAATTTTTCAGTAAGTGGAGGTGATGAAGATGCTCAGTACTGTATAATGATACAGAAGTAACAAATGTAGAGGACCTCTACTTGCTCAAATTTATTTAATAAAGATGAATATAAATAAGGCAGTCTTTACAAATGCCATGCTACTAAAAATGTTCCTCAGTACTGAAAATCAACATGTTTATAAAACAGAGGATATAGTATATAAGCCGAACCAAATATGATTTAAAGAAAACTGTGTTGGAATCATATATTTCAAGACTTATTTTAATGTACCTTGCTTTTTTGTTTCTTTTTCTAGTTTTCATGTGTGAGGGGTGGGTATGTGTATGTGTGTATGCACATTTTCTTGCCTCTGTGAACACACAGGTGTGCTTGTATTTGTAGAGGCTCTAGGTTAATGTTAGAAATCATCCTCTATCACTCTTCCACCTTAGTCATAGAGACAGGGTCTTTCGACCAAGCCCAGAGCTCGCAGATATACCTAGTCTTGCTATTCAGCTGACTCTGGGACTCTCCCATCTCTGCCTTCTGAATTACAGGTGGACCACTTTGTCCATCAGGTATTTGTGTGAGTTCTTCCCAACCTCACTCCTTAACCTTTAGGCTTGGTCCAAGCCTAAAAAATACTTTGTGTGTTCTGTCATCATAATTAGTTATAGACTGCAAAATTATGTGGAAAACCCAATTCACAGCCTTTTAGAATTCAGACTGCTAGAAGAATAGAATTGATTCTAATTATGACGGTTTAATCAAAGCATCTTATCTTAAAATAAATGTTCTTAGCCGGACGTGGTGGCGCACGCCTTTAATCCCAGCACTCGGGAGGCAGAGGCAGGTGGATCTCTGTGAGTTCAAGCCCAGCCTGGTCTACATAGTGAGTTCCAGGACAGCTGGGGCT